TCACTTACATCTCTCCATTATAAACAACGTCATCAGTACACTGTGTTACATGCAGTATGACATCACTTACATCTCTCCATTGTAAACAACGTCATCAGTAAAGTGTGTTACATGCAGTATGACATCACTTACATCTCTCCATTATAAACAACGTCATCAGTAAAGTGTGTTACATGCAGTATGACATCACTTACATCTCTCCATTGTAAACAACGTCATCAGTAAAGTGTGTTACATGCAGTATGACATCACTTACATCTCTCCATTGTAAACAACGTCATCAGTACACTGTGTTACATGCAGTATGACATCACTTACACCTCTCCATTGTAACCAACGTGATCAGTACACTGTGTTACATGCAGTATGACATCACTTACATCTCTCCATTATAAACAACGTCATCAGTAAAGTGTGTTACATGCAGTATGACATCACTTACATCTCTCCATTATAAACAACGTCATCAGTACACTGTGTTACATGCAGTATGACATCACTTACATCTCTCCATTATAAACAACGTCATCAGTACACTGTGTTACATGCAGTATGACATCACTTACATCTCTCCATTGTAAACAACGTCATCAGTAAAGTGTGTTACATGCAGTATGACATCACTTACATCTCTCCATTGTAAACAACGTCATCAGTACACTGTGTTACATGCAGTATGACATCACTTACATCTCTCCATTATAAACAACGTCATCAGTAAAGTGTGTTACATGCAGTATGACATCACTTACATCTCTCCATTATAAACAACGTCATCAGTACACTGTGTTACATGCAGTATGACATCACTTACATCTCTCCATTATAAACAACGTCATCAGTACACTGTGTTACATGCAGTATGACATCACTTACATCTCTCCATTATAAACAACGTCATCAGTACACTGTGTTACATGCAGTATGACATCACTTACATCTCTCCATTGTAAACAACGTCATCAGTAAAGTGTGTTACATGCAGTATGACATCACTTACATCTCTCCATTATAAACAACGTCATCAGTACACTGTGTTACATGCAGTATGACATCACTTACATCTCTCCATTATAAACAACGTCATCAGTACACTGTGTTACATGCAGTATGACATCACTTACATCTCTCCATTGTAAACAACGTCATCAGTAAAGTGTGTTACATGCAGTATGACATCACTTACATCTCTCCATTATAAACAACGTCATCAGTACACTGTGTTACATGCAGTATGACATCACTTACATCTCTCCATTATAAACAACGTCATCAGTACACTGTGTTACATGCAGTATGACATCACTTACATCTCTCCATTATAAACAACGTCATCAGTACACTGTGTTACATGCAGTATGACATCACTTACATCTCTCCATTATAAACAACGTCATCAGTACACTGTGTTACATGCAGTATGACATCACTTACATCTCTCCATTATAAACAACGTCATCAGTACACTGTGTTACATGCAGTATGACATCACTTACATCTCTCCATTGTAAACAACGTCATCAGTACACTGTGTTACATGCAGTATGACATCACTTACATCTCTCCATTATAAACAACGTCATCAGTACACTGTGTTACATGCAGTATGACATCACTTACATCTCTCCATTATAAACAACGTCATCAGTACACTGTGTTACATGCAGTATGACATCACTTACATCTCTCCATTGTAAACAACGTCATCAGTAAAGTGTGTTACATGCAGTATGACATCACTTACATCTCTCCATTGTAAACAACGTCATCAGTACACTGTGTTACATGCAGTATGACATCACTTACAACTCTCCATTGTAAACAACGTCATCAGTACACTGTGTTACATGCAGTATGACATCACTTACATCTCTCCATTGTAAACAACGTCATCAGTAAAGTGTGTTACATGCAGTTTGACATCACTTACATCTCTCCATTATAAACAACGTCATCAGTACACTGTGTTACATGCAGTATGACATCACTTACATCTCTCCATTATAAACAACGTCATCAGTACACTGTGTTACATGCAGTATGACATCACTTACATCTCTCCATTGTAAACAACGTCATCAGTAAAGTGTGTTACATGCAGTATGACATCACTTACATCTCTCCATTATAAACAAAGTCATCAGTACACTGTGTTACATGCAGTATGACATCACTTACATCTCTCCATTATAAACAACGTCATCAGTACACTGTGTTACATGCAGTTTGACATCACTTACATCTCTCCGTTGTAACCAACGTCATCAATGTAATTATCTCAGCCAATATTTGTATCATATTCTGTAAATAAACCTACTACCTAAAGAGAATTTGCATACTCGCGTTATTAAGACGAAACCGTTGATCCCAGCAGAATCCATATCTACACTATGGTTTGATATCGTCCCTCCGCGTGTATCCAAATACGGATAACTCGAAGTGTTGTCAATGGACAACGAGATTTCAAGTTAACAAGGTTTCGCGGGATTTACATTTACCTATATATGCAAATGCAGAACAAGAGGATCAAAACGCAGATAACTTTGAACGACAAAAAACATATAAAATTACAGTTTAATAATACCCGTGAAGATCCGGTGTAGACTAGGTCTTCAGCAACCCATGCTTGCCGTAATAGACGACTATGCTTGTCGTAAGGAGCGACTAACGGGATCGGGCGGTCAGGCTCACTGACTTGGTTGATGCATGTCATCGTATCCGAAGTGCGTAGATCAATGCTCTTGATGTCAACCACTGGATAAAGGAAGAGAATATATTGGTTCATTCATTCATTCATTCATTCATTTGCTTATGTCTATTGTATGTTATGTGAAATGTGGATATTGTTGGAATATTGCCCCCAAATGCGTAAAATCAAAGTCACTCCCTTATCCATTCACTTCATAATAATTGTTTTGATATAACAGACATTATGTAAATATAAATTGTCAAAGCATAAGAATAGCCAGCCAAGATCACCCATGTCCTCCAAGCATTACAATTTGACCAATTCCAGTTTGGCCTGTATCGATTAGCTGGATGACATTTTGATCAGACGAATCAAATACGCCCCCAGTGTTTTGCGATGTACGTCAACATATCATGTCTCTCACGAACCGCCCACTTATGTTGCACTAGCGCCGTGAGTAAAGCGAAACCTCACCCAGTCTCTCACGTGACATACGTCATAATCTGTATGACCTGGTACAAATTAGGTTGTCATGGTGGACATCGTATTTTCCTAACCATACACACACGATAAATTCACTCCCACTATGATCGTGAATACAACACGCGTTAAGCTTAAAACCTGTATTCACATAAAGAGTTTATACAACATACCCGTTCACGCCCTTCTCTGTAAATCAACGGCACGTGACAAATAGTAAATATATTAGAATCAGGTTGTCTTATTGAGGGTGTGGTTAGTTCAGATCATCTTTGGCCCCTGTTCATGCTGCGCTCACTGTTGACTGCGTAGTCACAACTCTCTAAATCTTTTTCTGTCCAGGGGATATACAAGCCCCTTACTGATATATGCTATAAATTTGCAATATAAATTCTCCAAAGTAGCTTTAGAGTCTAGAGTAGGTTGTAGTTAAAAGTCACTCTCTGCTAAACTTGCCCTAAAGTAGATGTATTACACAGACGCAGACCACTCCTCGGTCGGGATGTTTCATAAATATGATACGGGGTTAGACAGGGTTGTGTATTTTTTCGGTGTCTTTTATGCATGTATTCATAGAATTTATCGGACTCAATAGAAAAGACGGTGTTTTGAAATCGTGAATAAATTATGTGTTTATACTTGATAAAAGACACCGAATCAAAATTCAATCTATTTAAATTATATATGTACACATATAGAGCGACACTGTCCTTCTCGCCACGGTTGAGTGACATCCTTTCACTAACCGCTTGCAGTGAGGGTTCGCCCTTACACTTGTGTTTGCAAGTTAATAGGTTTCTTAACACGAGCAATCAACCTCAGTATCTTTTTCTGACTTGCTTCTGAAGTACATCGAGTTCACTTCTTGAGTCATATGTAATACCCCATCTCAGCAGTTTATCACACACCTACCGATCCATAAATTATATCGAATTCGAACGTAGGACATCAAGTTCACGTACCACTAGGCCACCCTAAGCGAATATAATAGAATTCAGTAACTTGAGTTAAAAGAGCGGGTGGTCCGACTCGGTGTTTTGACTGACTGAGTGTCATCGTGCCCTGATTACATGAATCGAGCTGGAATATTACTGGATATGGATCCGGGTTAGAATAGGTCATCAGCAACTCTTGCCTGTCGTAAGTGGCGACTATGCTTGCCGTAGGAAGTAACTAACGGGATCGGGTGGTCAGGCTCTTTGACTTGGTTGACACATGTCATAATATCCCAACTGCGTAGATCGAAGCTCACGATATCAATCACTGGATTGTCTGGTCCAGACTCAATTATTTTCAGACCGCCGTCTAAAAGCTGGAATATTGCTAAGTGGGACGTTAAACAGGAACACAAACAAACTGCCGTAATTTAGACTTGCCAAATATTATAGACTTGCATGGGCTGTATTGGATATATTTGTTTCAGTGTATGTATGACAGGCTAGGTGGTGTGTAGCCTAGTGGTTTTAAAGTTGGCTCGTCCCAGTGATGACCCGGAAACAATGTTAAACCTTTTTCTAGTGTCCTCCTCCGTAATACGTCTCACCCATCTCACCCGTCAACTCACCCACCCAATCTCACCCATTCATTAAACTCAACCTCGAATGTTTCTTTCAATTCCAGGTGAGAGGCCATTCGTATGTCAAGAACACGGATGTAAGAAATCGTTCATCCGTAACGAAGAGTTGACCCGACATCGACGTATCCACACAGGAGAACGTCCGTACGTGTGCGACTCATGCAAGAAAGCCTTCACAAGAAAAGACCACCTGAACAAACACGTGAAGATTCATTCCACGACAGACGCTATATTCACAGTGTGATAGCATTGTGATTCAGGGGCGTGAGGAAAGACTCAATCAGTTCGTGCTGGCCCACAGACGCACATAACTAATTGTACAATCCGAAGGTGAAAATCGTTTCAGGAGAAGTCAACCTTGGCCTCCATACTCAAAAGGAATAGATTGTCATCTGACCAGGAGATAATAAGCTTATGGTGCACACTTCACAACAAGTACGTTGAAGACATTGACATCAGCGAGCCGTTACTCTGTCTGTTGCTGAGAATGGTGTTGTCATGAGTCAGAAACAAGTTGCGTTCTTGTTCATAATATGCAGGCTTTGTGTAGGTAGGTAGGCTGTTAAGTCCTCGTTGGCGTTGTTGCAACATGTGATCCGGATATACATGTTATCCGTGTAAACACGTTATCCAGGTTGACACCTTATCTAGGTAGACGTGTTATCCTGGTAGACGTGTTATCCTGGTAGACGTGTTATCCTGGTAGACGTGTTATCCTGGTAGACGTGTTATCCTGGTAGACGAGTTATCCTGGTAGACGTGTTATCCTGGTAGACGTGTTATCCTGGTAGACGTGTTATCCAGGTAAACGTGTTATCCGCGTAGACACGTTATTCAAGTTGACACCTTATCTAGGTAGACGTGTTATCCTGGTAGACGTGTTATCCTGGTAGACGAGTTATCCTGGTAGACGTGTTATCCTGGTAGACGTGTTATCCTGGTAGACGTGTTATCCTGGTAGACGTGTTATCCAGGTAAACGTGTTATCCGCGTAGACACGTTATCCAAGTTGACACCTTATCTAGGTAGACGTGTTATCCTGGTAGACGAGTTATCCTGGTAGACGTGTTATCCTGGTAGACGTGTTATCCTGGTAGACGTGTTATCCTGGTAGACGAGTTATCCTGGTAGACGTGTTATCCTGGTAGACGTGTTATCCTGGTAGACGTGTTATCCAGGTAAACGTGTTATCCTGGTAGACGAGTTATCCTGGTAGACGTGTTATCCTGGTAGACGTGTTATCCTGGTAGACGAGTTATCCTGGTAGACGTGTTATCCTGGTAGACGTGTTATCCTGGTAGACGTGTTATCCAGGTAAACGTGTTATCCTGGTAGACGTGTTATCCTGGTAGACGTGTTATCCTGGTAGACGAGTTATCCTGGTAGACGAGTTATCCTGGTAGACGAGTTATCCTGGTAGACGAGTTATGCGGGCAGACATGCTATCCTGGTATTGGTGCATGGCTTAGTACCACTACCCATAACGTGATAAGTGTATGCTCAAACCGATACTGGTGTCCTCGTAGTCTGTGGAGCAAGGACAGGCTGTGCAGAGGCCTCGCCGTGCCAGTATCTGCAAGTCCTTGATTCCAATCCCTAATTCGACCTATGAGCATTCTTGGTTGGAATAACTTTACCCATCAGGAACAGTCACCGTCAACGACTGCGTCACAATTTATTCCCAGCTTAAGGAGACAAGCCATGCTAGGACTGAAATATTGTTCAAAGCGGCCCAAAACTCACTCACCCACACACTCACACATTAATCAGAGTATGCTTAAATGAAGGCTATATAGCCAACAAGGTCTCTGAAATTATTAAAAAAGACCGTTTATCATAACTCTTTCTCAGCGACCGAAGTGTGACCTCAGTGTTTCACAGCTTTCACAGCGTGTGTGTTTGTTCCTTTGTGGTGCTATTGTAGAGAGCCGATTATTGATACTAACATGACGTGTTCAAAATGATGCGTTGTATACAGGGAAAACTACGGTAAATATGTTACTTATTACAATATTAAGCTCAAGTTGCATGTATATAAACATAATTCTGGGCATGTCATTGTTAGTGACGCGCATGAAAGGATTAATGAGACTCCCCGTGCGTACAGAAATGATCCAGAAGATCCCATCCAAAAAGTTCCACATCTTTCACTCGATATGGCCCCGGTTACAAAGTACAAAGTTACATTAATATGTTCTTCATGACAAACAGTTGTCGCCCCAATGATTGCATTTGAAAAGGCAGGTTTTACTGTGAGGAACACAACATAACTCCAAACGCAATCTCATTACATCCTATCTTTCACAACGACAAGAAACCCATCCCGTTAAGAGAGGCATTGTGTAAGAATGAAAGATCTGAATTTAGATCTGATTTGACATTATGTACATAGAATACACATGTATGTACTCTTACATTCTCTATGGCACACAAAAACGTAATTGATAGCGTTTATGATATATAACAGTTATGAATTGTATGTATGTTTATGCCTGGCCAGTTAAACAGGACAAGTTTAATAGAAGGATACCTTTGTTTGGTACATTCACAGTTCCGGTTAATGATAGCGGTGCGGTGTTTATGCACTGCTGAGTTCTAATTGGTTTATGACTGAAAGACACAAACGCGTATTGCAGAGGATTGTGATCCCGTTAACACAGGAGTACAACACTCGATCAGTGTACGGACAGACTATTTAAAGAGTCACTCAACTCCACAGGCAGGGATGTACCTTGGCTTCGTCTAGACGTAGGGTCGATCTAGCCTAAGGGTTAAAGTCCCGGGTTCGATTTCCCTCATAGGTACACTATGTGAAACCCATTTCTGGTGTCCCTTTGAGAGATGTTGCTGGAATATTGTTTAAAACGATGTAAAACGTACTCACTCAGTCACTGGTCCAGATGAACTTAGAACACAGTGTTTCTGCTGTTAGGGTAATCAAATTTCCTAGTTTGGTGTATGTCATGACATTGTGTTAACAGACAAATCGACAATGACTTGGATCAAACTGCGTAGGACTGCACCACAATAAGTGTGGAATATGAATTAGCTTGGCAGATTTGTGATTGGAATTTCTATTCGATACTTCTATTTAATAACATGTATTTACATGTTGTTGTCAGACAACATCTTAAAATTCTCAACAAAATAAGACACGTTCAAATGAGAAGTACATTCCAATCTTTAGGTGAGTAACTCCCTTGATGAAAACGCTGAACGTTATATTTGATTGTTGTTTAACGTCGCACTCAACAATATTTCAGCTATATGACGGCGGTCTGTGAATAATCGAGTCTGGACCAGACAATCCAGTAATTGACATCATGAACATCTATCTACGCAATGGGCTACGATGACATGCGTCAGTTAAGTCATCGGGCCTGACCACCCGATCCCGTTTGTCATCATGAACTTTCAAGGATATAGACGCATGGTGCACGCAGACCTTTTGTATTTCGGGGCTTGATGTCCGGCAGTGCCTAGCCCGCTCAACGTCATATAGTCTTCTCTAGATATAAAAAAGCACTATACAGACCTTTAGAATCATTAGAGGATGCTTGCCACGTTTCACACTGCCTCAGCAAGTCTCGTACCTTTCCCTAAACTTGCAAAATAATTATTGCACGGCATCCTTAACAACCATGGAATCATATGGAATCATCATGTTTAGAAGACAAACATTCGAAAATATTGATGTTAAACTAAATCATTAAAACTGGCTTTAGGCTTATAACCCAAATTTAATACCCGTGTGAGCAATATAATGTTGAAACACTTTCTGCGTCATGTCTCATTTTCGTTTTATCCGATTAAATAACATGTATATTTGTGAAATGTTGACTATTGAAATTTATTTATTTTTATTTTTACATTTTTGTGTAATTTGTTATGTGACTTTTTGTATAGTTTAACAAATATTGAAGATGTATTTGGAGGAATTTATTCGTGTAATATGTGAGAGATATTTCATCCATGACACGAAGCCTCCACCGTCTCACGATTTTTCAGGGCTTTTCCAGCAATGCTCAAGTGTTGGTCAAATCTCGTTGTCTCGAATACCTTATAGCGTGCATAACCTTATGCATCGCATGCATATGCACACACTATACTTTGGAACTGTTTGGTTTTTTTAAATGCTCTCTTACACCACCATCCATGTCCTACCAACACCTACCTAGCCCTATCCAACCCCTTTCTCCTACTTCCCCACCCTGACCCCAGGTCTCACCCTCATCTAGCCCCCATCACCAAAAAAAACCCAATCCTACCTACCCCTACCCATATAACCTAGTTCCCAGCCGCAACTTCATCCTCATCACCAACTACAAGTGCTGCTGACGCATCCCTGCTTCCCATTCAATACCACATACCACAAATCAACTACAACGCCCAACCACACCTTATGACTCCAACACCCAACCACACCTTATGGCTCCAACGCCCAACCACACCTTATGGCTCCAACACCCAACCACACCTTATGTCTCCAACACCCAACCACACCTTATGGCTCCAACGCCCAACCACACCTTATGGCTCCAACACCCAACCACACCTTATGTCTCCAACACCCAACCACACCTTATGTCTCCAACACCCAACCACACCTTATGGCTCCAACACCCAACCACACCTTATGTCTCCAACACCCAACCACACCTTATGGCTCCAACACCCAACCACCCTTTATGGCTCCAACACCCAACCACCCCTTATGGCTCCAACACCCAACCACACCTTATGGCTCCAACACCCAACCACACCTTATGGCTCCAACACCCAACCACCCCTTATGGCTCCAACACTCAACCACTCCCTTATGGCTCCAACAACCTCACCACACCCTGCGCATCACCCACACCCAACCTCAGTCATGCCCCAAACCCCTACCCCACCTGCCCCGCGCCACTCATTTTCCCTAAACACCTCGCTCGCCCACACCCCACCGCCACCCCACATATCATAGCCATCCTACGCCACTTCTGAACCCTCAAATACCAAATACCACCAGTCTGTCAGTTCTGAGGACATGATATCTGATATGACATCATGTACGCAGACCCCCAGTACCACCAGCCCCATGCATCCCACCCCCCCCCCCCCCCCACCCCCCCCACCCCCATACACACTCCCCACCCCCAGTTTCGAGGTAACGGGAGTCCACTTTAATTGTTGTTCAGTAGAATATGGTCGTTATTTATTTGCCACTATTTATGCATGTTTACCACTAGTCTTTGCTCAACAGATTGCCGTGGTCCAGCCGCATCATGCCTATTGTTCCTCGTGGTGCAGGTTTGGCCTATAATGGACTATTGTTTTTGATAGCGTCACACATCGTTAGTACATTTAGTGCTTCCAGGAATTGTGATACTTCGGGGGACAAAATATTGGAATAAAACCTGATTGTTTAAAATATATTGGTGTTTTTATTGAGCATTATTTATCCATTAATGTGGCATTGCCACTGTGAGGTCGACTGCTGTATATAGGTAAGTAGGTTTAAGCGTCTGAGTTGATGTGTACATAACTAAAAAGAAAGTATCCTTGTTTGATGGTGGCTAAAATGAAACAAACACGAAATGGTTATTCGATGGTGATGTCTTTGGTGCGGGTATTACAGGAGATACCCCATGCACAACAGGTGACGTCACATGGCGTCTCAAGGAACACGAAGGGCCAAATTTCACAGTACACGGCAGAGTGATGTGTGAATTTTCAGGAGCTTACTTTGTTTTGCCTGGCAGTTCACTCTAACCGGTGAAAATGTTTCTAATTCGACAATACAAATAATACCTCATGAGTCAAGGGTTCCCCCTGGTCGGTAAAACAAATCGCTTCTATTGCCAAAAAATGACGAACAAACTTATTTCTCTCCAACCATCTTACAAATTATATCCATTTTAGAAAACATAAACACAGAACCGCGGCATTGCGTTTGCAATTCAAAAACAATACAGAAACTTTTATAATTCTAACTGAAACATACGAAAAACTAACAAATCAGAGTCCGGTCATACATGATTGTCAGAACAAAAGAAGCTATAGTCCCATGTTTGATGGTGGCTAAAAATGAAAAAAAGACGTAATGATGATGTATTTGATACGGGTATCATTGTTGTGTTTTGAACCTGTTGTTCGCAGGGTTTCGGTGACTGTTTTGATAACGTGTGTTTTTTTGGTAAAATTCAGTGTGTATTCCCTTATTTTTGCCCCGGCAGTTCAGTACTTAATCTGCACTAAATATGCAAATGCTGTAACGCCCCGGAGTAATAGTGTCCATATTGTCGAGGTTTCGTTGTAGCTAGTTCGATCCCTACCTGTGTGTATCCGAATGTGCCCAAGGAGTTGGCCTCTGTTACTGCAACTAATTACACAATACGGGCACTTGAATATCTTCACCTTGGATTTGAACCGACCCCCGCACTTGAGACCATCTGGGGACAGTCCCCGGGAGCTATCCTCTAGGGAGGGGGAACTATCCTCACCCCTGCTGTCATAAAACGCAGACACAAAATGGCGTGGACTGCCGGACATACTGAGGTCTTGGGGTCTCTCTGATCTCCAAGGCCATGTTGGCCCCCTGGACACATGATGCGGTTCTCGTTCCGATACAGCAGCCTCCCCGAATCTAGGCGTCGTTTTCACATAGTCTCCTTCGTGAATAGGGTCCCGCACTCTATGGTCAAATATAGAACTGAACACGGAACAGCACGACAGCCTATTCGGTTTCTCCCAACACTGCACTGAGAGTGTCAAATCTGTGGGTTCGAATCCGGATGTGTGTTTACTTTCTTTTGTCCGTCAGTTTACGTGTATCTGGTGAGCTCAGCGAATTCTCTCCGTGGCTCGCTGGTGTCTCGTATCTTCAGTCATTGTTATTCAGTATTTATTCTTAGCGCCTGACGGAAACGTAAAAATGTTTTGTCCTTCGACCGCTTTCAATGTACCCTTGGTAAATGTAATTCACTGTTTATTATTTGAGGGGTGTGGGTAGCACAGTGATATAAGGCGCTGCAGTTCGATCAAGAGACCCGTGCTCGAATCCCCTATTTGGCCCGTTGTGATCCTTGGTCTGTTTGTCACCATACATATTTGCTGACGGAAGTATTAACCATGGCAGTGTAACCGTCCTGCAGTTTTGATCACAAATTGTTAGGCGTTAGTGTGAGTGAGTGAACAGTATTCCAGTTATATCACGTGAAAGCTAAATGTTGGAGCAAAGGGTTTTTTAGACCTTCACCACTTTGGGAAACCCACTAGTATAGGTATAGAGCACCCGTGTCCCTGGTTATACGATAGACACACGGCTTTAAACGTTAGACGTTGTGCGACAAACGTTAGGCGTTGTACATTAGGTTTTAGCGTTAGACGTCAAGAAGCATATTAAGGTCATCGTTACTACTGGTTTGCCACATATAGATTACTGAACGAATCCCGTTTAGATACCGTTTGTATCACGAGTGTTTTACATGAATATCATTGACTACAGTGTAATAGTCCATTCTCTCATCTCTCATATTTAGTTAAATATCACCGATATGTCGTTGATGAAAAAATGTGTGCTAAACTTCTTCATAGTTCATATTTATTATTTGGACATTCTATTCATGAGCCCTGCAAAACGACTTAATCATCAACGGCCTTAGTTGATATAATCATTAGGTAGTCATTGTTTTGAATACCTGTAAACTGCAAAATGACATTCTGTTATAACTGTATTTTATAGATGCACAGTGGTAAACTGCAAAATGACATTCTGTTATAACTGCATTTTATAGGAGCACAGTGGTAAACTGCAAAATGACATTCTGTTATAACTGCATTTTATAGGAGCACAGTGGTAAACTGCAAAATGACATTCTGCTATAACTGTATTTTATAGATGCACAGTGGTAAACTGCAAAATGACATTCTGTTATAACTGCATTTTATAGCAGCACAGTGGTCTGGGAAATGCGTCAAACAAAAAATAAAATCGTTCAGGCCTACCGCCAGAAATAAGATGTTTACACGAAAGCTGAACTGTGGTCTCAATGGTGACTTCAAGACCCCTCCCTGTACAATTGAATCGGATCACTAACACAGTTACGATGTTCTGTAAGCTTATAGGAAATTGCCACAGATGTGCGTACCGCCTATATACGCCCATCACCTACCCTGACTCGCTTCAGTCGGTCCTGTCTGTTGGGTGTATAACACATCTCCACTAAGCCAATGATAACACAAAATAAGACCGTTTGTTCCTATTGTGATTTAAAGGGTGCCAAGCCTAAAATCTCACATATGTTCGATCTTTGACGTCTTTGAATGTTGCGACCTTAATGACGTCTTCTTAGGTTCGGGGTACGGTGACCCAGTCGCCTGAAGCGTTCAGTTCGCCGTGCACAATTGTGTCCATTGGGCGTGACAGAAACCTATGATCGTCGGTTCAAAGCCAAGATGTAGTCCTCGTTATGTTTCTAAACTGCCGTGTGAAAGAAAGTATACAGCCATGTTTGATGATGACTAAAACTGAAAATACAAGAAATGTCTATATGATGGTGATGTATATGATTCGGGTATCATCGTTGTGTTTTTGACCTTAAAGTGTCAGTATTTCGTCGACTGTTTTCGGCCTAGTAACGTATTGTAATTTTTTTGTCAGTCCAATTTTCAAGTGTATATTTTTCTTTTCCCCGACAGTTTAGGTTCAGTCAGCCCCATACTCATGCTCGTGGGTTTCATTAAAGGGCGTTTGTCTAGTATTAAACTGACACGCCGTGACATCACCAAACATTGTACAAAGCGGCGTTAGAAACTCACTCACTCACTCACTCACTCACTCACTCACTTACTCACTACTTTACATTTTACTGAATAATAATCACTGTGCCGTTTACACAAATGACCTCCAGATATTAAGTCTTGATGTCCAGACATTAAATGTGTTGATCTCCATATATTAAGTTCATGACCTCCAGATATTAAGTCTTGATGTCCAGACATGAAGTGTTGATCTCCATATATTAAGTCATGGCCTCCGGATATCAACAGAGCTTTCCATATGTTAAGTCTTGATGTCAAGACATTAAATGTGTGGATCTCCATATATTAAGTCTTGGCCTTCAGATATTAAGTTTGGTCTCAAGATATTTTACCGTGGTTTCAGATATTAAGCCTTGGACTCCAGATATTAAGTGTTGGTCTCCATTGATTAAATCCTGTCGTCAAGATATTGAATCCAGAATAGAAACTCCGGCGATATTCTGCTATAACATTAAGCACCTGCTGTAATATTACGGCTGCAAACAAATTAATTGACATAAATATCCGTGAATATCTTTCGCTCAAAGAAACATGGGGCAACCCTAGTGACCATGCATACTAAGGAACCTACCATTTGGGCTAACCCCAGTGACCCCAAAGTAGAGATAAGTTATGGGTAACAACTGCTTTATTTACTGTAAAGGCGACGTTTCGGTATAGATCCTTGCTTGACAACGGTATAAAGATCTATACCGAAACGTCGCCTTTACAGTAAATAAAGGAGTTGTTACCATACATTATCTCTACTTTGTCATCCGTCAACTTCTAAGTAATACCTATCAACCAATTCCCAGTGACCCCAGTGACCCCATCTCCCCAATGACCACTCACTGGAAAAGAGGTAGAACCTAGTGACCCACTGATACCAACAGCTTGAGAAATGGGAGGGTCAGTCAATGGGGAGGATTAAAGTGAGGACTTTCCGCTACATTAGTTAATACTTCAACAACAAAGCTGTGGACTAAAATGAACGATTTGGCTTTCTTGGGCTGAAGGTGAGTGAGGTCCACCTAGGCCACAGAATAGTAATCATTTGTTGTTTTTATAAGCCTTCTGTGTGGAGCATGTACACCATTTGTGTGAGTGAGTATAGTTTTACGCCGCTCTTCACATTACTTCAGTGATAGATAGCATGGTGTGGCAAGTCTGATGTGAGTGGAAAGTAGCAGGTAAAGAATGTC